TGGGTGGGTGTGTAAGGTGTGGTGTGGAGGGTGTGGTTGGTGAGGTGGTGTGGGTGAGGTGGGATGGGGTGGGCGTGCACAGGATGTGTGAGCAGGGGCAAGCCGGGCCTGGCTGGGACGGCAAGGGGAGCGTGCAGGAGGGACGTTTGGGGGAACACCGGGCCAGCCTGGCTGGGACCGACCGGCTGCCGTGTGCTGGTGCCGGCGCTGGTGCTGCCGACCCGCCGCTGACGGCGCCGGCCCGCTGCCCTCCCCCGGCCCTCCTGCCGCAGGGCGCGCGCGTGCCTGCCAGCTGGGAGCCGGCGCAGAGCAAGAAGGGCGTGAAGCGGTACACCAGCGCCGCGCTGCGGGAGCTTGTGAAGGGGCTGGAGGCGGCGCACGATGCCAAGGAGAAAGCGCAGGGCGGCATCCTGCAGGTGTGCGGGTGTGTGGAGCTTGGAGAGGTGGGGGGGCGTGGGGATAGTCCTATCTATCTCTTTATATTTAGGATTGCAAGGAGACACACGTGGAGAGAGCGCGTGTGTGTGCCCGCCTGTCTGCCTGCCTGCCTGCCTGTGCAGGGCATGATGCGCGCGTTTTCGCAGCGCAAGGCTCTGTGGGGCGCCGCCGTGGACTGCATGGCCCAGCTGGATGCGCTGATGAGCCTGGCGGTGGCGGCGGCGTGCGGCAGCGGCACCATGTGCCGCCCCAAGCTGGTGCCCTGGAGCCCCGCGGGTGAGGCGGGGCGCAGGGCAGGAGGCCGGGGAGGCGTGTGTGGGCGGGGGGAGGCATGTGCAGGCTGCTAAGCCGCGCGGCTGCCGGCTTCTGTCCCTGCACAGCTTGCTCTGCAACGTAGCCCACCCTTCATCTGCTGCCCACGGCCCTGTCCCCATCCCGCCCGCCGCCCGCAGACGGCGGCGCGCCGCTGTTCCGCGCGCGCGGCCTGCGCCACCCCGCGGGCGTCAGCGGCCGCGACGGCACCTTTGTGCCCAACGACGTCGAGCTGGGCGGCGGCGCCGCCGCCGGCCTGGCCCCCTTTGTCGTGCTGACGGGTGCGCGCGCCGCGGGCGGCGCGCCGGCCCCTGTCGCCTGCCGGCGGCTGCCCGCGGGCACGCGGCTGCCTGGTCCCGGCCGCTCCCTGCGCCGTCCCTTTGCCCTGGGGCCCGCCCTTCT